ACTGGGGTAATCGGGATGGGTGTGTCAGAGGCAGTGCGGTTGGCGCAGGATAGAGCAGGGTTTAGGGCTGTTGTGCATAGGGTCGCTATGAGTCACAGATGACTCGACGGCACATAACAACAACAACCCTATCTAGTATAGCAAATGGAGTCAAAGAAGGAAGAGAAAGGAAACAAAATTTAACTTAGGTAAATCCAGTAGTTGAATTCAATAATGTAGTATTGCCAAAAATGTAATTCATAGATTGTTCATGGTATTACAGAGGGAACTCAAGGCTGTTGGAGGAAAAACAAAAAACAAAACAATACCCCCAAAACCTGATTTGTCATAGAACTTCTGGGAGCTTTTAATAAGGTAGCTGTGTGGTGACTCTTCAAAAATGATGGTGTAGGCAGGCAGAGTTTTCTGGAGGTTTTTTAGTTTAGAGAAGCCTATTTTTTTTGGTTTTTTTTTTCCCTGATTTACCCTGAGTCTAAGAATGTTTTCATTAGTTTAAGAATCTAAGTATGTATAGCTAAAAATAAGCGTAAGACTGGTGACACACATTAATATTTTACAGTAGATAACATGTTGCAGGAAGACGAGACCCAGCAGAAACACTTTGAGAGTAAATTACTACCAATTCCTCATTAGTAAAACGAAGAACTTTACTATGGTCACAGAGAGCAGGGGACTCATGTCCAAAATGGCTGGGCTTCCCAAATTGCTTTGTTTGTGGCTTTTTATAGGAAACACACAAGGAAGCAGTTCTACTACTCCCTCATTGGTGGTTTTAAAGTGTCAACCTTAGATTTACCATTTCAGCAGGGTTGGAGTCTCAGTTTGTACATGTCTTTGCTTTCTAGATAATGAAATATACTCCTACCAGGTCACAGCTTTTCTTGACCAGCAGAAGAAGAAACATTTTAACAGAATTCCAGCCTTCTTGGCTTTTCAGATATAAGCAGGCCATGCAGGGACTTTTTTTCTCTCTTTCTAGGAGTTTAAACCTACAGAATTTCTTCTTTCCCAGGGCTCCTCTCTCAAACAAAATAGTGACTTGGTGAAGTGTCAGATTACTAACTGAGAGGCTTAGCCTCTGTGATAGTTTATATCTACCAGTGACTTCACAAGGAAAGATGGGCAATCTCCTTCCTTGCAGTCTACAGTGGAGGATCAGCTATGAGTAGATTCTGACTTGAAAACAATGAGTTTTGAGTGAATTAAAAAATAAAAACTTGTGAGTTAAAATGAGAACATACTATGTTCTATCCACCAGATGGCACCAGCATTCTACATCTTTTGGATAAATGTACAATTCAATATTTTTAAACAATTGTTGGTGTTAAGCCATCTGCTATATGTAACGTGAAATATGATTGTTGTAGTTTGAATTAGCCAGAAATGTGGGCATTCTCATCCTTCTCCCAGAAAAAAATTACTTCTCATAAACACATTGGAGAATCACTGAGAGTAAGAACTAATTTAATATCGCTGGGTTCGCAATTGTTATATGTAATATAAAGTAATGATCTAAAGAACTAATATGTTTGATAATAAAACAAATTCCTTAAAGATATATGAGGGGTTTTTTTTTTCTATTTATGAACTTAATAGTATTTCCGAAGTGGAATTTTGATATAAAATACATTAAGTCATATATTCAGGCTTTTCAGTTTGGAGAATAAAGAATTGAAGTTTGAGCTCTTTATAATGTCTGCCATGTAGGATTCATTGAGTATCTGAATTAATAAGTGACTATCAGAATTTGTTTATGGAAGAAGAAATTTAGTGACTTTATAATTATCACTCTCAAATTTTTTTTAAAAAACTCAGAATTTGCAACTTTTTATTATGGTGTGAGATATTGTTGTACGATAATTAATACTTTATAAAAATGTTAGAACCTGCAAATTTTCTTTGTTCTTGTTTACCACTTATAAATTATAAAATAGCCAGATCTCTACTTCCGAGAGCCATTGTCAAATGGATAATGATTCCAGAAAGCAATTTTTGTTTTGTTTTCCAGAGATGATTGATTTTCTTTCACTTTTTAAATTATTTAAAGCATGGAGTTTCAAGTTAGGATGCATCTGTTTTTATCCAAGATTCATCACTTACCAGCATTTGTGGCTTTGAGTTCAAATCCTAGTCATTGGTAAAATAAGAGTTATGCTTGACCCTCCATATGAGATGGATTGACACAGTGACTCTGGTTACGGGTGCAAGTGTGTCAGAGACAATGACTTTGTCTCAGGAGAGTGCAGGGTTCAGAGCTATTATAAGATTGCTATGAGTCATAGACAGCTCACCGTCACTTAACAACAGCAACAATATAGAGATGGAAAGCAACTGTTTTTATATATTTAAAGTGTTTAGATAATTCTTGGCATGTATTATGTACTATTGAAATGCCTTTATTAATATCTAACATTTGTTTATAAATTGTTCTTGTTACTATTGTACCATCTAGTTGGAAGCTGATTCTTCAATGAGTTTTCAGAGGCAGTAAATCACATAGTAGATTGCTCTCTTTCTCCCATGGAGCAGCTGGTGGATTCAAACCATATGCCTTTCTTTATAAGTAGGTTATTTATTTGTACATTGTTATGACTATATTACTGTGAATTAAGACTAAAAAATTAAAAAGACATAGACCCAGTTTTAAAAACTGTAATTTAGTGGAAGTTATTTACAAGGTATAGGAAGTACACAGGAAAGTGAACAACTGTATTTATCTGGCCTAGTCCTTAGGGAGTTGTGTTGCTAACCCCATGTGGCTCGCCTCTCTGGTGACTCAAATTCACCAATTGCTCAGTGGGAGAAAGATGGTCAATTTTATCCCATGGGAATCTGCCGGAAAGTCAGCTATGAGTCAGTTCCAACTTGGGTGTGGTGAATGATTGTGTGAGTGATATTTACCTGAGGGAAACAGGGACGGCTTCTAGAGGGAATGGCAGAGTAGTTATAACAATGATAGATAGTCCAAAGTCAGGCCTACAAGTTGTGAATGATCCAGTTCAAACAAGCATTAAATGGAAATGAGAATTTATCACCTTATAGAACAAAAATATGATAAGCTCTTGCTTTAAGTGTGAGGAGCATTGGGGAATCAATTCTTTGTGGAGGTCATCTGGGTTGTATTTTCTCCTCTTGACCCTATTTCTCTGATTCCCTGACCCTTATATTCTCTCTTCTTCATTCACTCATCCCTCTTTTTGGCCCTGTTTATTGATTGGCCCCATTTTTCTCAGACAGTCTTTTACTTGGCAAGACAGAAGTTTGCCAGAATCTTTTTATTATATCCATATAGCTTTTTTATGTTACTCTTTAATACCTGTAGAATGTACTGATCTCTTCCCTTAATTACCTGTCAGTCATCTGTGGTGAACAGGGATATGACAAATTCTGTGATTATCTGGGAGGTGTACCTCCCATGAGCCTACCAATTTGCTGAATAGGGAGGAGATACTTATTAATCACATGTTGTTGTTTTGTGTACTCTCAAGTGGAAACTGATAGCTGACCCTCTGGCAAGTTTTCAGAGGTAGTAAATTGCATAGGAGGAGATTGTCCATCTTTCTGCCTCAGAGATGATGGTGAGTTTGAACTGCATATAGTAGAGGAAAAGGGAGCTCTGGTGGCCTAGTCCATAGGGAATTATGCTGTTAATCTAAAGGCTGCACCTCTCCTGGCAGTTCAAGTCCATGAGCAGCTCTGAAGGAGAAAGACAGGCAACTCGTCTCATGCAGTTTATTGCACTGGAATATCAACGGAAAGTCATTTATGATATGAGTTAGTACAAACTTGATAGCAGTAGAGAGCAGGGGGAGAACTACTCCACTAAAAGCTTGTTGTTATATGCCATCCAGTCAGCGTCAACTCACAGTGACGCTTTGAACAGCAGACCAAACATTGTCCTATTCTGTACCATCCCTATAAAAGCCAGGGGGAAAAAAATTAAAAACAAAAATAAGGACAAGTGTTCATTTTCACCAACCACTTATTTTACATCCAGTAGGTAGTTTATAATGACTATCTTAGTTAGTTCATACAGTTACCTTAAAAACCCCACTGTTGTCAAATTGATTGTGACTCTCAATAACCCTCCTTTGGGTTTCTGAAACTGTAAATCTTTAGAAGATATTGCCCATCTTTCTCTCATGGAGCGGTAAGTACATTTAAACCACTGACCTTCCATCAGCAGTATGCACGATGCCACCAGGGTTCCTTTAGGAACTCTTCATTTTCCTGTAAAGAACATCAAGTTATGTCGAAGTTAAAATGATCAGTGCTAGGTTATGAAACTGGTGGCACCTTGGCTAAGTTCCACTTCTAACTGACAGGTCAGTAATTGAAACTTCCCAGTCACTCCACATGAGAAAAGACGTGGCAATCTTCCTATAAAGAATACAACCTAGGAAACCCTTTAAGAAAATTTTACTCTGTCATGTAGGGTTGTTATGTCATGATGTCACAATCAACTCAACATCACACACCACCAGCATAAAAATTAATGATCTGTTCCTGCTTAGTGGCACTGTGGAAAAAAAACTTGGCAGTACACTTCTGGAAAGATTAGAATCAAGAAAACTCTATGGAGTGATTTTACTGTCACTGGTGGGGCCAATACAAATTGGAACTGATTGGACAGGGATCATTTTCATTTTAGTTTTCTTGTGTACATCTTATTGTGTTATGGTCTTTTGAGTTGAAACGGAGGCAGTAAATCTCAACGGGAGACTATTGCCCACCTTTTTTTCTGGGATCTGCTTGTGAAATTGAACCATATGCCTTTGGGTTAGCAGCACAGCCACAGTTAAAATTTGATATGCCACTCATGTGTGAGATGTTTAAAAGGTATATTTGTCAGAGAAACAGAGCAGACATTTGAGACTTGTTTGCAAAATAGTTGTTAGCTCAGTGTTTTACAAGCACAGGTGACAAAATAGGTTTGCACACTAAGCTCAACTGCAGAGGTAGCTGGGGAACAACGTGGAGACATATGTTCAAAGGCACATGGGTATTGGGTATAGCATACATGAAAGAAAGGCATCTAGGATGGCTTGTGAAGTGTGGTGCTATTTTTAATATTTGAATATGTTTTTTCAGAATCAGAATTTATGACATATTTAAATTTATAAATATTTTTGGTAATACCAGTTTAATATAGTTGAGAACTCATCTTTGCTAGCAGTGTTCAAAATCCAGTTAAAGGTACTTAGGAGTGAGATGTTAACTAGTTCAGGTTTGAAATGTTAATGCATTCAATGGCATAAAAGAGTAGGAAAATACTTTCATCTCACATTTTTGGCTGGGGAAGATTATCAGTATTAATTTTTTTTCCCTTGAATCTGAGTAATGGAAACTGTAGCTGTGAAATTTTAAGAGAAGTTTTATGGATTCTGAGAAAGCTAACTCAAAAGGGGAAAAAAGAATGCTAACTCACAAATCACCTAGTTCTGCATTTTTCTAGGTCATATTTGGTGCCATAAGAGCTGCTATCATTATCTTTATGTTTCATGTGCCTTTGTCTTATAATAATTTTATTTGTTTAAAATTGTCTCTCTTACTAATCTTTTGAGTCCTATGGGAGAATCAGTTTTATTATCTTGAGTATAAACTCCAGTAGTATCAGTAATGCAAATAGACTTTGTGTGTGTGTGTGTTTATATATATATATATATATGGTACTCAGTTTGATGAACAGACTCCTTCACTTTAGAGAGTAGTGTGAAAGGATGGACAGTCTCTTCACGTGTAATTAATGCCTTTGAAAACCCTGTGCAGGGTCAGCTATGGTCAGTTCTGACTTGGTAGCACACAACAACAATTAAATTTATAAAGTTATGAAATTAAGAATGCTCATAAGACTAGAGTATGCTAATTACTTCCACACCAACAACTATTTTTTAGTTGTGAACTGCCTTTACTCATTTGTCCCTTCCTTCTAGGCAGGTAAGGGCTATGAGTTTCATCCGGCATATAACTAAGATGAATGGACACAGGGAAAGAAACGTTATAGAACCCTGGCCATAATAGAAATCTTAATCATTTTTTAATGTTCATTTTTCTGTATGCACACATTAAAGTGTTTTGTTTCTTAACAGAAGCCAACAACCTTGATGCAGATGCCCACTTTAAACCTTTACCTCGGCCAAGGAGTATGTTGAAAAAGAATAGCCCCAGAGAAGAGAAAGAACAAGGAGAAGAGAAAGAAATTATTCTCAGTGAAGAATTAGACTCACAACATACACCTTGTTCCATCCCAAGCTTAAATGGCACATTATTAGATTCTGAGAAAATAGTCCCTGAAGGACTTGATCCTGAGGTAAGAAAGGGTGTGTGAGCATGTGTGATTGTACAAAACTTAAGAATCTAAATAGGCTACTGATTCAAATTCTCAAATTTAGTTCTACCTGTAAAAGGTGATAGTTTGATCCATATTTGTCTGACTGACTCAATGGTTTTTAATTGTTAATTGTTTTAATTTGAATTTTTTTAAAATTGTTCTCAGAATTGGGAAACAGTTATACTTCATAAAATTGATATAAATGGATAATTTAAATGGTTAACTTTAAATGATACATACATACATCAAATGCACATAATTTTCTGAAAAAAGTAAAGATGAAATTCGTTTATTGTTCCTATCTTAGATTAGAAGTAATTGTCTTCTTGACTTCGTAAATTGTTTTCATTTCAATTGAGTGACTAGTAATATTTATTTGAAATAAATGTTTTTACCTTTTATCTTCTAGATACTTTAAAAGAAGCATGCTAATGAAAAAGACGTCAAATTTTTGCCTCGTTGTTGTTGTTGATTGCCATTGAGTTGAACACAACTCATAATGATCCTATGAACCAAAGCCTAAACCTTTTCTATAACTAACATCGTTTTTCCAGGTTCAGCAGTGAGAGTTTTTAAAATTCCCAAAGATAAATACAGAGGTAGAAGTTAAACAAGGAAATTTATTAGCTCTTCTAGTAATACTTCCTAATTCAGACATCAGGGCTATAAAGGAAAGCCTCTATTCACTTAATAATTTTGATGTTTCAGGAAGAAAAATCTTAATTATGTAAATATCAGCGTTATGAAGTCTCAAAAATGTTCTTGCCAAAACAAATATGAGAATTAACTTCACATTTTATTTTAAACAGGGCCCATCACCAACAAGTCCATCATCATCAGACTTTAAAGAAAGTTTTGGTGATTCTTTTTCACCAGGATCTGGAGAAAAAACAACCAGTACAGGTATTATGTCTAGTTACCATATCATATTTAATTTGTGAAATATCTGTTGCTTAAAATCCTCTTCATAAAAGAAATAATATTCTGCAGAATTGTAGGAGAAAATTGGGTTTGCCCGAGTTTCGATCCTGACAGCAATTTGCTAATGTGATTTTAGACACAGTCTCATCTCTCAGAGCCTCAATTCCCTGAGTTCATAATAACAGCAACAGCAGCAGCTACCTCTGCTGTTACCTTATAAAGCTGTCCTGAAAATTAGGGGATAACAGTGCATTTTAGCCATTAAACTGACACAAATACTCATTACGAAATGTGAATTACTATTAGCCAAAACTCATTGCCATCGGGTTGATTCCAATTCCTAAGAAATCTTACAGGACAGAGTAGAATTTTTCAAGAGTAGAAGTTTCCAAGGCTGTAAATCTTAACAGCAAACTGCCATATCTTTAGTTTATTCAGTCAGTAGCTGATGAATTTGAACATTAGTTAGCAGCCAAGTGGTTTAACCATTGTGCCATTTAGGCTTTGGGTTATTATTATTATATATGGGTTAAAGTAATATTCTGTAGTACAACATAGTGATCAGGTGGACTTTTAAAATGAGACCAAGCTGAGTTTGAATCTAACACTAATGTATTTTACATAAGCAAAATAATGAACTTCATCAAAACTATGTAGAAACATTTAAAATAAGGATATTAATAATAACCTAACTTGCAGGATATTATAAGATTAAACCCGTTAATATGTGTAAACTAGGTAGCTCACGTGGCCTAGTGGCTCAGAATAGTTAGACGTGAGTAGAAAAGTACTTAGAAAAGTATAATAAGCATGAAATTAGTACAAAGGATGAGATTTAACATCGTTGTTCCTTTCTTTAGAAATACGCCTTGTAACTTCTTGAGAAGTAAAAGAATAAAAGTAAAAAGCTGTTTCTAAAGCCAGTGTGTATAACTAACGTTCATTATGCTGTGTAGTATAGTTTTTATAATTGTTTAGTTGTGAAAAACTGAAGTTTAGCAATACTGAGAAACAAACCCATGGTCAGTGCTGGAGCCGCAATTATATCTTTGATTCCAAAATCTTCCTTTTTTTCCACTATAAATTATTAAAAATACGAAAAACAATAATAATAATAATAATAGTATTTTAATTAATAATTATAATAACAATAATAGTAGTCTTTTGATTAATGAGTATTCTTTAAGATGTGACTACAGAATTATAACTAAAAAAACTCTTTTGAAATTAGCTTACCTCAGAGAGTTCAAACAAAATGGCTGTGTAATAAAAGCAGGAAAATTAAGATCTTTGCCAGTGAAGATACAAGCTTGATCAAGAAATGGATTGTAGTGAAACTAAACCTTGATATTCTCTACAGAATACTCTGTTTTACTTCTGTTGAGTATTACAAAGTGTGATGGAATAAGAGAAGTAATTATGTGAATGTAAAACTGAATCTTTTATGCCAGACATGAGCAAAGGCTTACTGGGAGGATAAACAGTATGGGTGTTGGTGCTCCTTTTTATCTGCAGGAGGCATCTCTCCATCATATATGAGAAAGTTACTGAAGGCTTCATTCTCTGTAGAGTGCACCCTTCTAAAAATGGCATAATCCTTAATTGTTCATATCTGTACAATTCTGTAACGACATTGCTAGTAACTAAAGTGGTTAAACTTGTTAAACTACCTATTGTTTCAACTAAAAAGCAAAGCTTTAAATAGAACAGATTTTACTATCTTCATACTTGGTTTGTTTACATCTTTGTTTACAGTATTACTTTCTGTTTAGTAAACAACTACTTTTCACTAAGTTTAAAATATTTCAATAGATTAACTACCATTCTTTTGAAAAAAATTCACTTTTAATGTGATAGGTTTCCTTTATGTTTTATTGTACAAAATAAAATGGATTATAGCAAGTTTTCATATAAAGGAAAATAAAAGAATTTGTTGCTTAATTAATTCAGAAAGGATTTTTAATGTTATTCTGTTGCAAAATAGATCAGAATGAAGAAGTCACAGAAAACCATAACACCTTAAAATCAAAAGAAAATGAAGAGGATTCATTTTTGACAGACTTTATTCTTACTGCAATTGAGAAACCCACACAAAATCAAGAGACTACTGATGCCCTTGAAGGAGAAGGGCAAAATGCTGAACTGACTGTGCATGATGACTTAACTTCCCTACTAATTAAATCTCAGAGTGTCTTGATAACCACCAATGCAACTGAATCTGCAAAGGTATTTACATGTTATACATCCTATTGTATAACTTAAAACTTCAGCTTAAAAAGGTAGAAGAAACTTTATATGTGTCTGAATTATCTGTGGTATTACGTTACAAAGTATTTTTTACATTACTCAATAGAATTTTAATTGTAGGAAAGGTTTGACGTGAATAAAATGGAACATAATGTTTCATTAAAAAACTTGGTTTTTAAAGCATTATTATTATAAGATAATAATAATTAGCTGATCATATGAACTTTGATAAATCTTAAACATTTTCAAAAGTTTTTAGAATATTGTAAAATGGTATCTAAAATAGTAACATTAATTAGAAGCATTAGTAGTTGTTCCAGATACTTATATTTTTATAATGTGGAGACCTCTGGATTCCTGTATACTTAGAAGTATTTATTCCTAAAATCTTTAAAAGTATTAGGATTATATACCTCTAATACACTTTCTAAACAACATGCCTCTGGAAACTCCATGAACTTTGATAAATGTAGAAAGGCTTCTTTTGTTCATAGAGTCACTATGAGTCATGTTCAACTCAAAGGTAATCAACAACAGTAGTTTTTAATGAAACATTTTCTCTCATTGCTGTCGAGTCAGGACTGATTTAAAGCTACCCTTCAGTGGGTTTTCAGAGGCTATAAATGGTACAGGATGAGATTACCCATCTTTCTCCTACAAAACCATGGGATTTGGACACTAGAAACTGGCACTGCCTTGGGGTAGCAACACAACTCCCTGTTGACTACATCATCAGAGCGCCCTGCTGATAAATTTAATTCCATTCTATTCATTGCAAATATTTCCTCAAGTTATAATTCTTTTGCATTATGTAGAAAATGTTTGAAGATATGATAGCACCATAAGTCAGAACTGACTCAGTAGCAACAAAATTTGGGTTTAAGATTGCCTGAGTCTACACTACATTGTTCCAGAATACTGTATGTTAAAAAATATATGGTGTATGCATTTTTATCTTTTAGCTCTGAATCTTTTGATTTGACTTTAGTTTTTTATCTCTTAGACATACAATTAGTATAACTATTATAATGGAAGATAGCTGTGCTAATTTAAAACATGTGATTGAACAGGACTTTTATATCATAAAATACAAATTTATAGAGAAAATTTATTAAGTCACATTTAGTTTGTATCATCATTGGCTGCTTTCCTCAGGGGGGAAAAGCACACCAAAAACTACTGCCCATCTTGGAGAAAGGCAGCTCTGGTGGCCTAGCCTCTAAGGAGATATGCTGCTAACCAAAGGCCATTTTTCTGTTATGGTTTGAGTCTACCAGTGGCTCTGAGGGAGAAGGGCAATCTCTTCCTGTAAATGTACAGCCTTGGAAGCCCAGTAAAGCTAGCTGTAAGTCAACTCCCACTCCACAGCAGTGAGTGAGTGAGTGAGTGAGTGAGTGAGTGAGTGAGTGAGTGAGTGAGTGATGGTGTTTGTTATCTATGTTTTCACACTAATACCAACACCCGTCTATTTATATAAGGTGAAAATGTCGAGGGAAAGTTTTAAAATGTTTAAATTAATTTTATTTCGGTACTTTATGGTGCTTTAGAAATTGCTAATACAGATAAATTATAAATTAGACCAGGTAAGCTATTTATAACAAATAACAAAAACTTTGCTTATGTCTCATGCTTTGGCTTTATTCTTTGAGTTTAAATGTAATAATTTCTCTATGCATTCTCTGTTGGGTTTGTTACCATATCAACAGAGTCTAAATTCCTTACCCTTGGCTATGATCTCAACTGATTCTTTTCAGACCATATATTTCTCCCATCTCTCCATATTTACTGTTTGAGTACCACTGATCTTTTTCTTTTTTTCTCAAAAAAGTATCCTGCTTTCTCCCTTCTCAGTTGTTTCTTTCTATAAACTTTCAATAAGCCACTTTCTGTTTATCCTTTCACTCCCAGCTCAGAAGTGAACACCTCAAGGATATTTCTCTGATCATATTCTTTTAAACAATCCTCACTCTCACTCCATGCTGTCTGTCATAGGCATAGTTTATCCTTCATGGGTCACATTTGTCTATATGTTTATTTTCTTTTAGCCTTTGTTAAATTTAGCATTTTTCAGAGATTTTATTAATATTTTTTTCCTATTACTTGTCACAAGTAAGCTTTATTACATACTTAAAAAATACTGGTTTACTAATAGTATGCCCTCTAACTGATAACTATTATCAAAATCCATCCAAGGTTTTTTTCTGTTTAATAGAAACCAGTTGAAGATAGAAATATGAAGAACAAAAAAACAACAAATAACAGAGCATCCAGTGCATCTGGCAGGTAATCAAGCTACCAGTATCCCCCATTCTTACTTAGAGTTTTTCTTATAAAAGCTGGTTATTGCTTTAACTTAAGTGAGGTAAATTCTGTGTTAGATTTTCTCATCATTTCTCTCATGAGATTTGTAGGATCTTTTATAATAAAAACTAACATTTTTATAAAACAAGGGACTAATAAAATAGTTAAATCTTTAAGTAGTTCTTTGTTTAAATCCTTGGAATATTTATGCAGTACCTTTTGATTTCCTACAGAGCCATTTCTCTTTTTCAATGTCAATGATTAGAGATTCCTTCATATTTTACAATATTATTTGGTCCAATTGATATAGTAACAAGGCTTTTAGTTCAGCATTATTCTTATAGTGTATGTGAAAAATGTACAGAAACACATTAGACTCTATAGACAAAGTTTCTTTATTGAAATTATAATCTACAGCTTTATCTGCACTTAATGGTGATAATATATGCCTAATCAAAAAATACCAATAAAAACCTTCTGAATGCCAGGTTGATGTATGTTTTCTACCTAGAGCCAGACTTTGCATTTTAAGATTTTATGCTATACAGTCTTGATTGTAACTATTCAACTCTGCTATTGTTGGAAGCAGGACTGTCATCCACTTCCTAAACAACATGCCTCTGGAAACTCTTTAACTTTGATAAATGACGATAGTCATACAAACACTTCAGGCTTTTTGTTCATAGGGTCACTCTGAGTCGTGCTCGACTCAACAGCAATCAGCAACAACAACAACATTGTGGGAAGGCGATCATAAACTATATAAAATAATAGATGTAACTATTTTGTTATAAAACTTTATTTACAAAAATAGTTGTAGGGCAGATTTCTCTTATTCTTCTTTCTAACTTTATAGTTAAGGTTGTTCATGTAACAAAATGCAACAAAATTATTGAAAGAGTGATTAAGTATTACTTAGAAAGTAATAGTATTAATTAATTCAGTAATTAAGTATACTTAATCACTTTTCCAAGTGATAAGTAATATTAATACTTAAGAGTGATTAAGTATCATTCTTTTTATTTCTTGCAATTCATTTTTTCTTTTTTAACTTGACACTGGTTTACCTACAAAGTTCATATACTTTGACCCTCACACCAGATCCCCCACCTCACTCTTATGTGTAAGGTATTATTATTATTACATTTCTAAGTAACCTACAATGATAGGTTTAAGATGATCAAATTACTAAGTATTCAAAGAATAATTACTTTACAACTATGTACTGGTTGGCTTTGTTTTCTTTTGTTGTTGTTGTTGTTGTT